TTGAGGTGGAGCTAATCTAAATTATTTATATTTTAGCCTAATTAATTATACTGTATAACAAGTCATAATATATCATTTATATCTATATATATTTAATTAATTAATCTGCAGAGTAACTAGTATTTATCAGGAACAATGGCTGTTACCAGGTAAAAGTATAAAGTAGCATACACAAGTAAAATATAAGAAGATCAAAATGTAAACGCACTAAGTTACCAATTTAGTGCATCTGATAATCCTGTTTCTCTGCCTTTGCAGGGAAGCTTGGACAACATCAGCATCATCATTGTCTGCTTCCCTGGCGCCCCCCAGGTGTCACAGGAGGCACTGCAGCAGGAGGCAGAGCTGGAGCGACAGATCGATATGAAAGTGGAAGGTGCTTTTTCCGCAAACCCCCACACCAAACCACTCTGCAGTGTACTTTAGACCGCTGTTAGCTCCCTGATTTTTTTTCATCCCATATTGTTTTGGCTATCTCCCTTCACAGAAATTATCCAGTCGATGAGGTCCAGCGAGGAGGACCCTGACATTTTGTATGTGATCAAATTCCTGGCTGCAGAAGAGATTCCAGGGCTTCCACCAGGAGGAGGCATCACCAGCAAGTGAGTCTGAGCAATAAAAAAAAAACTAATTTTGGAGGAATCAAACCAGAAATCCTTTTGACATGACACCACTGTTTCTCCCTTTGCAGGCGAGACTGTATCATCTCAGCATATCAGAAACACATCATGACTCTCAGAACTCAGGAACCGATGGTAACACATGAGTCACGTGACATTTGAATGTCATTAGATGAACAGTCATTTAGAACTAGTGTTGTAGTACTCGAGACTGGACTTGGTCTTGAGACCACTTTTTGATGGTCTTGGTTTTGTCTCGGATTCGACTGCATTTGTATTCGGTCTTGTCTCTGTCTTGGACATTGAGGACTCTGGATTTTATTTCAAGACCAGTCAAGACCATAACCACCAAGACCATTTGGGAATATCAATAAATTGCTTTGCATTGATTTATTTGTTAAGATCCTAACTTTGATTGGAAGTAAAACATTTTGCTTCAAATACAACCAATAACCCTAATTAAAAATGTGTTGTTACCGTTAACGACTGTAACCGCGATGGTAAGCATGGAAAAGGATCGTTGAATAAAGATGCTTACGTTACGTTTCAGCTCTCAGTGTTTGTATGTGGGTGTTTTAAAGGGAATGTGGATCTTTCAGATCAGTTTGAGAAGTACCTATGATCTCGTTCCACATCTTATTGTGTGTCTTGTAATGTGGAGAGCTGGTCTTGGTCTTGACTTGGTCTCGGTTTGGGCAGTGACTACAGCACTATTTAGAACAATCTCCAAAATCTCACAATAATATGCCTAACTTACAGTTTTGTAGGGCAGCGCCAATTTTGTATTAATAATTAAGTCCAGAAAACATCAGAAAAAGGTGAACATGTTCTTGATCCCAAGGTGAAGTCATTAAATGTCTTGATTTATCCAACCAACGGTCCAAAACCCAATTTACTGTAACCCAGTAATCGATTCAATGCAAAAACAATTGACAGATTAGCCAATAATGAAAATAATCATTAGTTGTGGCCATAGGAATGAAAATAAAATACCAATAAAAATCTTCCACCAGCTGACATGAGAGTATGGATGCTGAAAACTATATATTCTATATATATATATATTCTATATATTCACGAACTTCTCTGAAAATGAACTAAACCATAAGTTGCCACCTTTGATTTTTAAAACGGCATAAAAGTACTTGCTGATGTATTTTTAAGTGCAAGCCTGGAAAACAAAGTCATGTCTACAAAGTAGATATTCAATGTTGTGTGTTTCAGGACACTGAAGGATCGGAGGAGGACTCAAACTAAAGATGTTACCATGGAAACAGGATCAGCACCAGCTTCACCCTCTCCATGGAGACCATCTTAAATGTTTTCATTTTAGACTAGCACTAAAATAACGATGATTCTTTATGTAATATATTCTCTTTGAGCATTTGCTTTACGGTCAATTAAAAGTTAAATTTAAGTCAAAATACCAATTGTGTTCTTTTTCTGTAATATTGGCACTATATTTTCTAAAATTATTTGTTATTGACAGGGAGTCTTTAAAAATAATTAACCATAAGGTGCCTGGGGAAATACTGACACATTATCTGCACATTCTGGATGCTTAAGGCAGCTAACTTTACCTTAATGTGTGGCTGACAAAACAAACTGTACGTGCGGAAAACACATGATCTGACATCCTTTCTTCTAAGGCAATAAATAACACACTCAAAAACAAAAAAGCACAGCACTCAATATGTCCTCGGCACGTGGGCCACATGGGTATCAGAAAGTCTTGTGATGGAACCCAGCATCACACAGTAAAAAATTTGTTTGCACAACACTGTCAGGTTGCAAAGGATAGCAATGACTTGTTATAGCAAGAACATAACCGCAGAAAGCCAGAGGGACAGACACAAAAGGTTGAAGAACGCAAGAGAGAGCAGAAGAAAAGAGATGGGGAGAAAGAGGGAAAGAGGATGAGATGTTTCCAGGAACTATCACACATACCTCATTAAACTTGGGCCCCTTTAGCACTGTATAGAGAAAAAAAATCACACGTTACTGTGTGATTTAAAAGTTGTTTTCTTGTAGGAAACTTATTTGTATAGCCTGTACAAAGGTTGCTCACAGTTTGTTCCATTATTATAGATCTAAAGTTTTAGATACTATATAATGATTATAATGACGATAATTTTTTGTGGTAACCAGTGTTTTTGATACATGTTTCATTTTACAATATTATGTCGTTGACATAGATCCATTATCAAATAATATATGCCAAATAAGTTTCTAATATAATACTAATAATTTAATAGTATTATTTTCTTAATTATTATAATTTCAGCTATTTTTCATTCTACTGATTTCTTGTTTTCCTACGTATTTGTAAAAAGCTATCAGGACTGACTGGTGAACCTGAAGTCTGCGGAGCTTCCTCAAAAAGGAGGTGCTGACACACACAATATTTTCACTGTTTGGTTGGAAGGTAAGTTTGTGATCAATTATTGTCCCGAGGTATCTATGATTCAACCCTTTCTATTGGCTGGTTGTTGACTAACAGAGTGGGAATGATGTAAATGTTGGCTTTGAACATACAATCATACATTTCATTCAAACATTCAAACTCAAATAAAAGTGTTTAGGACATTCAGCACACAGACTATACAGGAGATAAATAAAAATTCTCTTTAAAAGCGTCACTATTCCTCACTAAGCCTATCTATTGTATCAATACTACACAAATTAAAACAAGATAGTTCAAGTCAAAGTCAAAACTAACACATGAGGGACTTTAGGGGGCTTGCTTTGGCAGTCATGGGTTCTTCACAGTGTGTTGTGAGGGTGTGGTGAGGCTTAGCACCTCTGTATTAATTGAGTGAGCAGAGCTTTTAGGGGACGGAGAGTCCTTCTCACCTCCTCACTCCCGACAAGTCAGATCACTCAAATATTCAACTCAGGAAGGCACTGCTCAGCTGAGAACACTTGCAGACAAAGTTAAAGAAGAAAAAGAAGAAGAGGGCCCGAGGGGAAAGGCAAAGAAACCTCAGTCAGACAGAAAAATGTGAGTAATGTCTGTGACCGTGTTCGTGTGGTATTTAGATGAGCAACCTGGGGACAAAGTGGTTAGTGTGCACGGCAGGATGGCTCTGGGTTTGAACCTGGCTAGTCAGGCTGGAGCCTTCCTGTGTTGAGTTTGCCTGTGTTTCTTCCTGGTGATCCGGACAAACTGAGCAGCTGTTTAAAGCCTAATGGCCACCAGGTAAAGCTTGTATCGGTTAAATGTCTACGTATCAAAGGAACTAACAACCATGCCAAGGCATTTTTTCATTATTATCTAAAGAGGTATCAGGTGTTTATTGAGCTTAATGGAATTTAAATGACTTTAATTTAACTTAATCTGTCCATAAAAAAGATAACATATGATGAGAGTAATCAAGTATGGAACAAGGAAGATGTGATGAAAGGGATGTCAGACTGATATAATAATAGCAGTCAAAATAAACAATACAAGAAATATGAAAATAGCTAGATATGCAATGAATTAATCATCCATAAAATTATTTATGAAGAACAAAAAATGAATATAAATAAATAAATGCAGAAATAAATAATTGAAAATAAACACATTTTTGTAATGAAAAGGGTTATTTCTATATTTTTAAGTTTTTTTATTTATTTATGCATTTCTACATTATTGTAGAAATATTGTATTTATTTATTTAAACGTATGTAATTTCTTTGCCCTTTATAGATATTCATCTATATAAGTAAAGTACAGTACACAAAATTAAATCCAATTCTGTTTTTTGTAAAGTATAGGTTTAATTTAAATATCTGCCTCTATTATAATGTGTGCGTGTCTGCTTTGGGACACAAAAATGCTTGGGCTAGCTATCGGAGTGCTTAAAATGTTTTATACGTGAGCAGGAGTTCCTGTTATCCCTGTGAGAGACTTTTAAAATGCATACTGGCAAATGGTGATAAAGGATTATGCTAAGATGAGACTGAGTTAGACAAAATCAAGTGGGTATCTTCCAAAGTTTCATTGAGATTGGGCAGCCACTTACGAACAGGGGGAACCATTACAGTGACCATAACCATTTCAATGCACATAGCACATTGTGACTGTGAACAGACCCTTTACTGCGGTCTAGAGTGCATATTCTTGACTTTATGATAAGTTTCAGATAATACACAAGGCCACACATATCTTGTCTTATCCACCTTGTAGCCTACAGTATGCTGTTCTGAGACAAAATTATGAAAAACAGGACCTTATTGGCCAACAAGAAAGGCCTGTGATCACTTTTTGGCTTTAGGTCACCTGACCTGGAGCGTGTCAAAGCAGTTAATTTATTTAATTGAAACACCTGTGTAAAAGAGGTAATGCCAGGGGGGAATGGCTGGAGGTCATTGCATAGCTGCACCCTGAGTGTTTACACACGTTGATTCCTGCAGCACCTGTGTCAGGCTACCAACTGTTGTCCCTCAGTGGTTCACATGGATACTAATAAAGAGGCCGTCGAAGAGACAGACAACACGGTATGGAAACAGGTTAAACGAACAGGTCCAAACAAAACTTCAGCCATGCAACAGTTGGCCACCTCCTGCCTGCTACAATTTGAGTGTCATGTTCATCCAAACTGAAATCAAACCCCTTCATCTAACACTATAGTATGTCACCTACCTGCAGCCGGGCAGGATGCCTCTTAACGCAGGAGACAACGGTTACGGCAGCGCGCCAGGTCCCGGGCTGTCCGGCAGTGTGGGCGTGTCGGAATCCGTCCCTCTGCTCGTCCCGGAGCCGGTCCGGCAGTGGCAGCCCATGACCAAGGAGGAGCTGGAGCTCACCGCGGGGGGTCCGGGGTGGAGGAATGTGCGCTGTTACCTGGTGCTGCTGTTCTGGCTGTCATGGGTGGCCATGCTAGCCACCTCCATCGCCATCGTAGTGGTGAGCCCCCGGCCGGTTGTTACACCGCTCACGTGGTGGCAGAAGTCGCTGTTCTACCAGCTGCAGCTAGACCTGTACATGGAGGAACACGCCGAGGGGTCAGGGAACATGAATGGTAAGGACATAACCTGTATCACTTAAAAAAAAAAAAAAAAAAGTTTGTTTGGTTTAGCCCCCAAAACAATGTGCATTGTCCCAGTTAAGGTCCCTGTGCAACTAGATTTCTTGATTTGTCAGTTTGACTACCTGCCTCCTGGTGGTCACTTGATAGTATAACAGTGTCTCCAGGCAGATCGAGACAGTCTTGGATCACAAATTTATGCAGTAGATCTTTATAGGCTGTCCCTGTCACAGGTTTGTTTGTAGTTCACTTTTAACATGTTTGCAATTCAACACAAAAGGTTCATGGTGCAAGAACATGACATGCTATAATTAAATTTATAATGACATGTTTTGTCACAGGCTGGATTTACCTGCTTGGGGAGGCCATAAGGCAAAAAATATGAGCTGCTGGGCCCTAACCTGCAGTCCCTCCCACCCTTTTCCAGTGTATTATATGCTAGAATACCATCTAGTCCCAGATTTGCTGCTAATGAAGATTTTAAACGTCTTGACACAGGGGCTTGCTTAAGGACGGGCCTTCAGACTTGCTTTAGAGCTCTGTATTCCCAAATACATTTAAAATAAATTGGGACAACCCAGTTGACATAGCATTAGCTTTGAGCTAATGCCAACGTTTGTCATTCTTGGCATGAAAGAGTTTCACATGGCTCTTTCTTCAGGGCAGAAAACTTTTTTGCCTCATCAGGACCGTGTGTAGGCAACACAGCGATAATGTTGTGGGCTGAATACTGTGGACACTAAACATGGATGGTAACCTAAAAGTGTGAGACTAAAATTGGCACAAAAAGCTTGTAAAAATTAAGTTAAACAGAATGATGTTTTTAAAATCTTAATAACTCAGTTTAATGTTTGTCCTCTCAAGCGCTGTGTGAGCAGCTTCCCTTCCTCAGGTCCCTGGGTATAGGGGCCCTAATCCTGGAGGGTCTGTTTAATAAGGAGGCGTCTCCTTTAAACTTCATTTCAACTGGTAAAAAGTTTGCGACGTTGCCTCAGATCCTGCATCTGCTCGCAGAGAGCAACAAAGCAGGTGGGTTAAGGACTAATTTTTGTCAAAAAGCCTGCACACTAAGGTAGACTTAACACCTGCATGATTTGATGTTACGAGTTGTATTGGTCCTGCAGGCCTCAAAGTGGTGGTTGACTTCTGTAAACTGGATCTGCTGAGACTTCAGGATGTAGCAGGAAACGCAGACAAGCCATCAAACCACTCGGTATATTTAAAACCTACACTCTCGTCATGCTACTTATCATGTTCTCAGTGATGCTAGATTTCCTAAAACATGACAATACTGTTTCTGCAGCATGCACTCTGGTTCTGGTTGGAGCAGGGTGTAGCAGGTTTTGCAATCTGTGACACAGATGCAGCGTATTCAGAAAAGGTAAAACGGTGCTCCGAAAATGTTTTTTTTTTTTTTATTAACAATTTCCACAAACTTCACTAAAATATTTACATTTCAGACTCTGCTGGAGTGGAGAGGCATCTTGAAGGAATTCAGCAGTCAGGAAGAGGAAAGGTATCGTTACACGTGCAGATGTGGGTCTGTTTCAATATAAAATGAAGCTGCAAAGTAATTAAAGTGTGTCTGTGGTCTCCTCAGGATTGTGGTGGTTAAACAGATGAGAGACAGTCTGCCTCCTCTAAACAACGGTACACTGGTGGATGTGGTCATGAAATCAATTCTGCCGTCTTCGCGTCATGTCCTGTCTGCCAAGGAAGTCGCTGCTGCTATAGAGACACACCTGCAAGCAAGAGAAGAAGTTATATGGCCCAGCTGGACAGTAAGACATGCATATGTCTGTGAACATAATTCAATATACAAGAAAGTTCTACTATATTTTGGTGGCAAACTAGTCTGAATAACAATTAAGCTTTAAACAAGCTACAATTGAGCAATGTTTTTGTCCAATTATTTTATTATAAATGTTGAAAGCGTAAACAATACTAAATACTGATTGGATGTGATGGTGTAATTTTACTTTCCCTCTGCATTTCCCTCCCTACATTCCTGAAATTTTGCACCCGTTCTTATATGATTGGAAGATGATTGGGAGATTTATTTTCTTGATTAATCATTCCATCTCAAACATCAGGGAAAGTGAGAAATACACATCATAAGTTAGCACAGCCCATTGTGACTTTTGTCCAATTTACAAGCTTAAAGAAAGAACATATTACAATGAGATAAACTCACATTGGAGAAACTAGAACCAGCAAATAGTTGGCCTTTTTGCTTGAAAAGTTACTGAAACAATTAATCTATTATGCGTTTCTGCAGGTTGAAGGTAAAGCATCTCATGACTTGAAGAAATTACTCCTGGTGTTGACGATGACACTGCCAGGATCACCTGCCATCCAGTATGACGAGATCAGCCAAACTCAGGTGAAGTCCTGCTTGAGAATTTGTAGTCCATTAATTATCCATTTTAAAAAGTTCATATTATAAATAAAACCGTTCTGCCATACAGAATGTGTCTCTGAAAGCAGGCGCATCACATGGAGAGATGACGGAACCAACAGACACCGATTTAGTGAGTAATCTGAATGAGTCCTATCAGTTCAGGTCATGTAAAGCTGTATTTATAGACACAAAGCAGCTGTTGGGTAGGTTGTATGTAAAAATCTGCCACTGATCTCTACCATCCTTGCATCAGGATAAGGAGAAGATGAAGCATTCAGCTGTTGCCCTCTTTACCTCCCTCAGTCGCTCCAGAGCCAGAGAAGAAGCTCTTCTGTATGGGACTCTTACTTTCCTCCCCTTTAATTCTCCACCAGCCCCTCCAACTCTACTCTTGCCTCTCCTTCTCTGCTCCGATCCTGGCTTTCTTGCGTTCTGGGGTTGCGTCCACTTCCTCATTCTGCTAAATGTTGGGCCTGAGCTCCATGCCCTGGCTCCGGCCTGGGCCCCGAGCCTGCCTGAAGCCGGAGTGTTTGTGACCAGCACAGGAATGGACCGTTTGGGGTCGATGACTCTGAAAAAGCTGGAACTGCAGCCCCACGAAGCCATCGTCATCAAACTGTTTGAGGCAGGAAGTTACTCCTAGAGCTTCTCTGTTAATTAGATGTGTGGACATTGAGCTACTGGGATTTGAGTTTTCCTCTCACAGGGTGATAAATGTTGGACACAATTGTGTTTGACTGATATGTGCTCAGAGGTCAAAGAAAATAAAATACTGGTTCTGTGTGGCATCATTTGTGGTCAGGATATTGCTCTCTGGAGTCTGTCTATTCATCGCTGAATACACAGAGCATGTCGTATTTATGGTAACATAACTTTAGTTATATATCATAGTGACAAGCCTCCCAGCTTACCAGTTGAACGTGCTAATTCTGGCTTTAAGCTGCGAGCATCTGTAGGCCATCTATGTTTTTATATTGTTTTTAAAGAAAATATATTTTCACGGATTTAGTCCATACATAGACTTTCAATGAAAAGGGGGAAAAAAATTAGCTGGGTTCCCTTACAGATTTGCCGTTCGTCCCACTTATAGCTGAGTTTGTGCTGAAAAAAACTACCATTTATGTTGGGCAAGGACAACTTGCAAGGTGTTTAACAAAAACTGAAATAAACATGTTGATAGTCTGTACTCGAGAGGTTATTTCTCCATGATGTAAAAGCAGACATAGAAACTCTTTTTTTTTTTTTTTTTTTTTTTTTTTTTTCCCACATCAAAGAAAGTATTTGAAATTCCATGCTTCATTTCTGAGAAGTAATTCTTCTGAACATGTGGCCCATGTTATCAATTTGTATGAGCTGCTGATAAAACAAACCATATGAGCCACATCCTAACTACTCTTGTATGTGAATTCTTATTCTCCCACACCCTGCGGTTTATCTTTCGTTGAGCAACTCAAGTTTGGGAATTGATTCAGAGCATATTAACTTCCTTGCCAGCCTGCTGTCACTGAAGAGTGGTTGCCTGAGGAGAAACTATTCCTTTAGTGTACACTTCCAAAACTGGATGTCAGTCATAGTTCTTCATACCACATGGTGGTGCTGCAGTAACAATTGCTGCTCCATTAACGTTTTATATAAGACTTTGATGTCAATATATAGAAACAAGTTTCTAAAGATTGAAAACCAATATTAATACATAAAAATTAAACTGTTTACATAGTAAGCTGTCATCAATCAGCTATCAAATTCAATATTGTTAATGTTGCATGTCATTTTTATTTGCATGAGCCTCGTCATTTCCCACATAAACCAGCACTTTCAAATGTAAATATTTATCTGTCATTTTCAACACTTCAACGCTTGCTATTACTCTGAATCACACATCTGACTATTTGTAAACATGTCAAATTTTCGAAATTTACACTTTATAGGAGAACCCCTAAGAAATTATGCTGACATTATTTCTGACTTAAGTTTTGCAGTTGTTGTTTATTGGTGTGTAGGTAACACAGGATTAATGTGGGCTAACACATGTTTGCAGCTTACTTACAAAAGAGATTAAGAGGCCGGTGGTATTGTATTTAATTTGAAATGTTAGATAAACTTCAAACTAATGCAGGGAAATTGAGCAACTACTGTAAACAAGACACAAGAAAACTGTGTGCATATGCACACTACATGTATTAAGCATCTGTTACAACATGAAGAATGAAAAATTGAACATTGAAATAACTAAATACTGTGGACACTAAACATAGATGGTGACTAAAAAGTGTACTGACACAAAAAGGGCACAAATAACGTGGAAAGAATGAAGTTTAAAAGAATGATGTTGATTTCAAATCTTGCTAACTCAGTTTAATGTTTATTCTCTCAAGCACCATGGGGCCCAATCCTGGATGGTCGGTTTGATAAGGAGGCGTCTCTTTTAAACTTCACTGCAACAGATTTTGCAAAGTTTGCGACATTGCCTCAGATCCTGCATGTGCTCGCAGAGAGCAACAAGGCAGGTGGGTAAAGGACTTCTTTTTGTCAAAGAGCCTGCATACTTTACGTAGACGCAAGACTTTAGGACTGTATTGGGCCTCGGGCTGCTTTTCTCAGACTGCATTATGACTTGTGATTACTAAAGGGCTAATTCCTTCATAACATAACATAACACAAAGGTATTTTGCCTACAGAAACAAAATCTTTTAGGCATAGCCCTCGAAAATGTCATGCCAAATTTCCTCCATAATGGTGAACATATGAATAAGAACACAGAGTTTAACAGGGATCGGAAGTTTGCTGTTGTATGTCTAAAAATTCAATCACATTTATGGGGAAAATGTAATTTCCATAGTAACTCACAAACAAACAATTACACACTGTACCATCTGAATTTTACATCAGTCGGAAACTTGATATACTGGAACATAAAAGGATTTCAGATGTCATCACTTAAAGACATTAAATTTTTTCCCTACCTGTTTTCTTAAAAGTAGCTTTCCACCTTTCCGTATGGCAACTGTTTTAACATAGCACTGAAAGTAAAATAAATGTCACGCTGAAGTCAGGGTTGATGTTACAGTTTAACAAGACAAAAACAAATGATCATGTAAACTTAAACATCTTCTGTTTATCTTGGCACTGCTTCCATTTCATTTACTGTAAACGCACAGCAAATGTGTTCAGGTCTCATGACAGTCAGGAACTACACATGAACTGAGATAGAGAGCAGTATGTTTTTTAATATGTAGGAGTGTTGAACATCACATATAACAGCATAAACAGTGACATAGACATTGTGAGACAGTTTTTCTTTATTAATACTTTATTTCACATGAACAAAATGTGTACTGTATAAAGAATACAATTTTTTTTTCTTCTAAAAATGTATTCTTTCATTAATTTTAATGGCTGTACTACTCAAATCCTCATACCCTTAAAGACCAATTGTACAAGTGGTGATGTGTCTGACTTACCTCGGGTCATGCATGATTGAGCATTTAAGGACTATAAAGTGTAAAGTGAATGTGCAATGCAGCCGAAAAACAAACATAAACAAATTCAAATCACTATCTGTGTTATCCATATATCTCATATATGCTGCACTCCACTGTATAAACCAAAGCATTGCAAGGAGATACAGCATTATAGAACAGTGAAAAGGCATAAATGTGCTACATTAAATGCAGTTACATCATTAAAGTCACAACAACAACAAAGGACTAATCCTCCCAGTGCATTTTGCAGCAGCAGAGTTTTTCAAATGTGAGAGACTCTTCACAGATAATCATCATAAGTAGCTTAGAAATCAGTGAAAATGAGAAGGAAGGGTGGAATCAAATGTTCAGGCAATACAGTGACATAATTGTCTGGATAAGAAGTTTTTGACTGACTACAGCAGCCAAACAGATGAGATTCTGATATGGTGCATATTCTTGGTACACATACTGTATATTATTTGTTTCATAGTACTAGTGGTCTGCGCTCCACTGCAGGCGGAACAATGCTGCAATATGAGATTATAAGATGTGTGTTTTAGAAAACAGGTGTCGCTCTAGAGATGGCAGTGTCGGTCTGTCTTTCCACCACTTTGGTCCTGAGTGAAATATCTCAACAACTATTGGATGGATGGCCATAAAGTTCTGTGCAGGCGTTCATGTTCCCGAAAAGATGCCTACTGATCCCCTGACTTTTTGTCGATTGCCACCACGAGGTTCACATTCTTAGTTCTGAGTAAAATGTCTCAACAACTATTGGATGGATTGCCGTATCTTATCTATTGTTTGGTGCCAGAATGGATAAGTTGCGATAACTTTGGTGATCAAATAATTTTTTAATAAACTTCTCCTCAGTTGAATAAAATACATGTCTCTCTCTTGGATCACTCTGACCGGTAACTGATGACTGCTACATCATAATTCTGGTCAGGGGAAATTTATGAACATGTCATCGCCCCCAGTGATGAAAGCGAGGGAAATAAACTATGATTTTCATGTTGAGAGTGACCTGCATCTCATGTCTTAGAAATTGTAGATGAGGACAATCCATTAACCGACGGTTATCTGCTGTGTCTTAAAGAAAAGGCTAAGATAAAAAAGAAGACAGTATACATTCATGCATGTTGATTACCCGAGTGCATATTTCTTATTTTACAGTATATTATTCATAGGCATGATATGGTTTGATGTGTTCCTTAGTGCTAAGTTACAGTGCTGTTTGTTTTATGGCACATCTCTCCTTGCAACAGTTTCCATCAGTCAATGAAGTTCAAGACCCAGTGCAATAATTTTTTAGTTAGTTCATAGAGAAAGAAAGAAGATTTCCATTGTGACACATTATTCTTTGCCAAAGTCTGTGTGCCTTATAAGGTAAAGGAGTGGAAGAATCCTTTATGCAAATGTAAAAGTTCATTCCAATTTTTATTAGAGTTGAAAGTTTCCCAGCCTCCAGACACCCTGCACAGCTGAGGGTTTTTGTTAGGTCACGGAGGTAAATTTGGGTACATGTTGGCCTGTGGAACTGTCACATCTGGGGGGTTGCACTGTATGTGATTGTCAAGGGGTAAAGACAGCGCACAGTGTGCTGTTGACTTCATGGCTCCTCTGCTGAAGCGGCAGCTCAGCAGAGAGCAAAGGTGGCGAAACACAGACTTGCGGCAGATGATGAAGACCCAGGGATCCACAATGGGGTTGAGGGCGTAGAAGCGGAAGGCTGTCAGGTTCTCTGTGTCGCCACAAAATGGGTGAATGGCGTTGATAAAGCCTGCAATCTGAAGAAAGAGATGTTCGAGGTTAGACAAAGTTTTAATATTCCTAGGTTACAAATGTAAGGCCTAGAAAATGGTGTGTCCTCAGTTTAGGTGTCAGGATGCAGAGTACTGCTGCTTTTCTGTCTCAGATTTTAACCTTTATTATCCATAGCGGCTTTGGTAACATAAATGACCTGCTTCACACTCACTCCCTGCAAGCTACTCAGCATGTAGTTTTATCTGTAGCCAACTCATCAGCTTGGTCTCAACATCATTGCTCTCTCCTCACTATATTGATAAACAGTCGTAATCAATATTTCCAAAAGGTAGCTTGTTCACTGGACAGAATTTTTGTTAACCTGTCAACCCAAGATTAAACATTTTGTCTGCTGGATGGAGCCAAATCAAACCAGATCAAAGCCTCTGTAACAGTGTTACATGACGGAGGTGTCGGCACTTTGGTGTTAAAAGCAGATGAGAACACATGACCGGGTGTTTAGTATCAGTGTCAGTTAAAACTGTGGTTATGTTAGGCTTTACCAAATGTCAACATCTCACTCTTTATACCAATAAAACACGTGTTAACATGTGGGAGTACACCTTTAATTTTCAGATTAGGTTCCCGAGTACAGATGCAGACAATGCTACATGACAAAACCCCAACTTTTTCCTGCTTTGACCTTTAAGGTATGACAGGCTGCAGACAGGCAGCCCAGACAGCAGCAGCTGGCTGCTTATACACCCTGGGCAGAGAGAGAAGCAGCAGCTGGCCCAGGAAGCTTCTTTGTCACCTCGCTCCTCTTCTCTATCAACAATTCTCCATTTCCTCCATGAAATATCCAACAAACAGTGAACTAATTAATGGCTTGTGCTGATTGAGTGCTTTTGTGCATTGGTGTAAATGTTTCTCTGTTGCTAGGGCCTGGGCTGAAAACTAATAATCTAGAGACATAGTGAGGGAGGCCAGGGGGAGCAACAGAGGCAGGCCAAACCAGAGGTATCAGGCACAGGGCAGATTATGTCCCGTACATGTTTATTAAGTGGCTAAACTTACCCGGATGCGGTCCCTTACATATTGATTCTCAGATACACCCACAAAACAGACAGAGAGAGGGAGAGGGAGAGGCTGCCCGTATGCAAAGCCTAAACAACAGCAATTCTCTTGTGATTCTTCTAAGCTCTGAGCTGAGCTCGATGCCATAATAACGTTGAAACTCTGGAACAGCGTCATATTCTTAGATGTGTCAGGAGTGGTCACAGTCCACAGTGGAACAAAACAACGCCCAGATGTTCTGTGCTTTTTAGGAAGTAATCATGTTATTTGTGGTTGTGTGTAATTTCTTGAATTGCACAATCGATGTTGTCAGAATTGCTGTTGTATTCTTACTCATTTCACTTATTCCATGAAGTATACATGTAGAAAGTAATGCCCACACGGACACATAGACTTGAATTGACATTTACCCTGCCTTATTCTTGCAACAATTTGTTATTTGAAATAATATTTAACGTAAAAATTAATCTTAGCCCTCCTGGCATAACTAACAAACACAATGACAGATTCAACTTGTGCTCAACACCGAGTTACGGTACACTGTATTCATCATGCAGTGTTGCCAGACAACATTTCAAACAGACGTGCATCTTCAGATGCTCTGCCACCACCCTCGCCCTTGTTGTGTCTCACCACATTACCACCATCACCCCTGCTTCTGCATGCCACCCTGCCTCTTATGGTCCTCTCAGCAGACCTCAAGCCCTGCAAAGAGGGACACTAATCACAAGCTGTCTTCTCCAAGCACTTCTGGCTGTGGGGCCATAACTGATGATATGTCAGGCTCTCCTTAAACAGGAGCATATTAGCACATCAGTCTGTGGATGAAGGGCAGGCCAGGAACAGTGTACAGGAGGCAAGGATCAGGGTCATTATTTAGGAGAACAGAGAATCATACCAATGCAGAAGCACTGAAACAACAAACCGTGAGCATGCTTCAAGACATATAACTCCAGCATGTTCACATTTGTACAGATGTATACACAACATATGCAGAAAGCTACTCATACACTGCATGTTGTACACGTGCAAACACGTATGTATCACCTTCTGCTGCTTTGCAATCTGTAGCTGGACTCATTTCAAACTACTATGTCCGTACTATATCTGTTAAACTGTTTATTTCATTTTTCATCACTTCTACATCTCCGTCAGTCATCCAAAAAGCTTCTTCAGTAATGAGTCATAAAGCATCTTAAAAACAGAAAGATAACAAGATATTCAATTTGCTATCACATAAAAGTATTAACACCGTAACACCTGAATTGTTTTACAATCAAAAAAATAATAATTTGTGTTTTCATTTGCTTTCAAGCTGATGTTAAATTAAGTGAAGATTGTTAATTTCTCTATAGAACATAGAAAATATATAAATTCAGGTATGTGTAGGTATGATGCAAATTAGTGACAACAGGCATAAACGAGAATCCAGGGCTTGCAAAAGGTTCCTAGGTATGTATTGAATATGCACCAACAGGCATTGGGGGAATTCATGTGCTATCTTGGCTTGCAGTCTGCAAGGAAGAGCTATGATGCGAATTCGCGACAATCGGCGTCGAGGTGTTAAAAGCAGCATATCCACACAACTGAGAAGCTGGAACTATCTATTATCAAAATAGTTGCACTAATTGATTAATCAACTAATTTTTTCAGGTCTAATACTTCTAGATATCCTGATGGCTGAGACTCTTCTGGCACCTGGACCCAGTTGGTGTAAATGGGTACATCCTGACAGAGATACATAAGATGCTATTTGGGGCTGATGACTGCTGTGTCTTTCACAAAACAGACCACGTAATGGATGTCTACACTCTAGGACCCATTATTTTCCATCTTGTTGGTCCTGGAGGACTCTTCCCAAATCTTTCTTCCTGATCCTGTTTCACTGCAAGATCATTACACAGGGATGAGACGAGGCAGAGCGGAGATTACAGGCCTTTCAGAGAGAACTGTTTACAGGAGTGAGCAAACAGGGAGAGAGAGAAATGCTGCAGTGCTGCACAAGTCTTTTAAGGAGTATCACAACATTTTGGAAAATACAGGGAATTGCCTTCTATTAACGTGAGAAGATTTATGTCAATCTCACATGTGTTTGTCAAACCCACTTGGAGGCAGGCGAAAAAAGCTGTAAACACAACACTGATAGATTATCATCTGTTAATTTAACGTGGGGCAGGTCCCACTCACTTGTCAGAATCATGTTTTTGAATCAGTTTTACAATGCACTCTCAACCGTTAAGCTTTACTTCTTGGTGGAGGTTTGTTGGGGCTGTAAGCCTTAAAGTAAGACCTGCAGACATAAATTGGGGCTGAAAAAAGTCCTGGAGGTCTTCTGCGTTTTGGGGGATAAATACTTTGATGTTTATATTTACAGATAACTCTCAGGAAAAAAAGCTTGAAATGACAGAGTGCTCTTTGTAGTTAAAGCTTGAATATTAAAGTTAAAATTAGTAGTTTAAATTTTTTGTAAAACAACTTTTACATAACATTTTAACATTCTTTACCACAGTATCAAGTATCAGATCTCTATCAAAAATAATTCATTAAAGGGCCAATCAGAAGCAGAGAAGGGCGGGTCGTAAGAAACAAGTGTGATCCAAATCACAGCCGCTTCAGACTGCGACCGTAACCTAGCAGATGGTATAAGTTACTCTCAAGTCCACAACATCATGTTCCACATCTTTCCATCAGGACTAAATGTTGAACTGTTGCCGGTGTTCTGACGATCTATGCTGCCTTACTGAAAAATGCTACCATAGCGCAAATCAATAGACTCGACTCTACTCGGCTTTGCTCCTTTTTCCATTGCAGATAGTACCCACAGATAGTACGTAGCTTGTCGTCATAGCGACGCCACACACAACTGCGACACACACACCAGCGATCCACACAGCTTTATCTTTTTTAAGTTAAAACGTTTCAGCATTACTCAGAATGTAAAGACAGATAAGCGGTATGAAATTGGTATTTTGCTCTGCCGTTGTTGCTGCAGTGGTCTGTGTGACGGTGGGAGCAGAGGGCTCTGTGAGCGGGCGGCTGGCCGGCCTCACACGCTCCTCCCGCGGGTTGGCGCAGGCTTCCACCGCAGCCACTTGCGGAGCTCCTCAACTCCGAAAATATTCAAGCATAATTTTGTTCAGCGATTACTTCTCGTAAAACTGTCAATATTCAAAATCTATGCAGCTGATTTCTCACCTCAAAACTTCTCAGAAGTGGATTTAGTGATGAAATTCCATACGAAAACTGTAAAATATAAAACTTCCTGTTGCTGGCCTCTGTCTGGTGCAGCAATGATGATGCAGTAAATAGTGAATATTCTCTCTGACCAATCAGCAGTCTGTCGTGTTTGCACATTACATTTTAGTATCCCTCAGCTTGCTTGGAACCTCGATGGAGGTGAGGTGATACGAACAAAAGGAAGTAGGTACTGGTACAACATTTCTACAATGGAAACCCAAACAAAGGCGAGACGAGCCAAAGGGCCTCCGCTCAGACTAGCTTGGTTTGAGGGTGTGCCTGACCTCTGCTAGCCGCTTGGCAAGCTTTATGACGCATTTTCATTGTGATGTCACAAGTAAAGGAAGTGAAGGGCAGGACTACAAACGAGCTGTTTTCAAGCAGTTCAGAGCAGAGTTTTCTGTGGGAGATGGGAACTCCCTTTGGGCTGGACTTTTTCACTTTGCAAACCTGTTACATGCACAAAAAATATATATATAACTCAATAAAGGAGAGGGAAAAGCCAAAAAGCACAATACCACCTCTTTAATGTACTGATTAAACAAAGAAAAACTTGCTAATAATCTTAAACATAATCTTGCTTAAAGTTTTTATGATTGTGAATCCATGTACATATGATACAACAGCACAGTTTACCAAAATAGAACTAACTAAAGTTTCAGTTTTGGATGAGGTGATCCAGTATATGTACACAGTAACATGTTTACTGATGTTGTGTTTCGTTCATTTCGTCTGAATTCTCACTTCTCATTTATCTTCACACCACCCTGCCCTTTTTTAGAATCTAAGTTCCAGCCTTGATTTCTTGTAACTCTGAAGGTACATTTCAGTTCAACACACACTTAATGTTGAGCTTTATGTTTTTGCTTGACAAGGAGCTGTCCAATGAAGTGTATTGATCCAGGAGGATTCACAAATCTGATTGGATCTCCATCCACAGCCTTCATCTCTCTCAAACAGCACCCAGAATTAGGTGTTGCTTTTGTTAATGTCAATCCTTTTCTCCCTGAGCTCCTTCTGTGCAGCACGAGGCTCCAATTCAGAGTCAAAGAAACAAATATACATTTCTTTCCTCGGCTGTGTAACCACAGTGACCTCTGTCCTACATTTAGTTCCTGGGCGACCTGATAATATGCTGGTGGTGAGTCATATAGTGCAGATGTTAATGCAAAGGTTAGCAGAATGTTTCTTTGCTCAAGGGGAATTTCACCACTCCACAGTGTGGTGGCTTGTGTCATCAATACAAGAAAAGATACAGAGAGGAAAAATGAGTGGGTGTGCACTGACAAGGGTGTTCAGATGCACATGCGATTTCTTCAACACAGAAAACACATCTGTAGCTTCCTGAACATGTTCTGTTTCAGGACCAAGAAAATATCAAATGTTAATATAGGTGGCAGCAACGTGAAGCAGGAAAGTCAGTCTGTGTTTGTCTTAAGACAAGTTTCACCAGGGGAATTACGCAGTCTGAAAGTCCATTAGTGAGCTTCCTCTTTAAGAAATGGCTGAGGCTGTCGGTTACCTGGAACCATTAGACCAAAAATGGAATTCAGTGAAAAAACTATTTCAGAGAAGAGTCCCCCACTCTGACACTCAGTCTGGGAAGAAAAGTGACCACAGAGCAAGACAACTTATTTTTCACGCACACACAACTGCCTAGTGCTATAAATTATGCATGTTGTTTTATGCAGCATTCTCTTCCTGTCTGTGAAATATAATAACTATAACATACAGCCTTTATGTCTATAGAACCTATAATAATAATCACAATTCCCCCCCCTGTGAGTGATGTAAGAAGAAGAATTTAGGGCAATTAAAATTGTCACTGTGAGCTCTCTGAGATATCTGTGGGACAAGAAGCTATAGGAGTTGCTGTTTGCTGACAAAAAACACACAAGCCACAAAACACCAAAGAAGTGGAAGCAACTGTGGAAAGCCAAAAAAACCCAACATAAACCCAGTTTACAATTTGGTTAAGGTGACATATGCCGTGACTAGGCTGACATTGGCCATGTTGCAAAACCTTGTGTGTGTTGCAACAGAGACTCAACAGGCATTCACTGCAGCTCCTCCTCAACAGAGATAACACTGCAAAGGCCCCACGCCTATACTGTACCTCTTTGTTGATGCTGATGTAAGGTGCTGAATTTTTGATGATGCCATGTACGCTACACACTTTGAGATCAGGGACAGATTATCTTTGAAAGATGTTAGTGCCAAGAGAAGACTCTCATGCTCTTTGTCACGTTCTGAAAAAAAAGAAAAAGCAATGATTTCAAATTGAACGCGATAGCTTGGATTTGTGTGATTATTGTTGACTTAAACTTATGTTTAATATCACTATTGGAGTCAATTCACATCAGTTTTCTAAATTTCATGTTGGTTGCAACACACATCCTGTCACAAAGAGCCAGCTGGACGGCAGCCACCACCCACATTTTTCTAATTCAGTCCTTGTGCACACTTCATCATCTCATTTGCTAATAGTCAAGCACATAGGGGCATTATAAATTGTGTCTTTTATTTTCTTTGACAATGCACAGCATCTACTCGAAATCATTTTTCTTGTTTTCAAATCTAGGTCCTATTTTTGTAGGCTTTTCGTTATAGTAACTTCTTTAGTGGGTTCTGGGGCAATGATAACATCTGTGATAACATTATTAGATGGACAAGCAATACAAAGGGTCAGACGACCAGATGGGCTGTAAATAAATTCCTAGTTTAACTATATAATCCTTTCAACCACGTAATTGTCCATGAAAATGTAGGTGAATGTACTCAAAAGGCCCACTACAGTTGCCCACGACATTGAAAAACTGTGTGTAAGTATAGTTGGTCAAACTTGAACCAGCATGTTGTTCTGAAAATCCAGCATTTATGTCAGAACATTTGTTTTCAACTTCAATGGTTTGGATAATGTGGCTGAATAGGGGTTCAACCAGATCAGATAAAAAATGTCTGACTGCTTGTATTGCTTGCCATCCTGAACTCTAGAGACGTGTTGTTACATCATCATAACAAATTGTAATGATGATCTAATGAGCCGAGGTGTTTTTTCCTGTAATTCTTCTTCCAGTGACTTTTCTGGGTATGTTCCTGGTACTTGGATGTTTGTTTTGGGTACTAAAATGTGTAGCTTTTTGGTTTTAAATATGGTGATATATAAGTTGGCTCTACTTGCTTTATATACTGCTACTCAGTGTAACAGTTCTGGCTCCTCCAGGCTGCATGTCAAAGTGTCCTTGGGCAAGACACTGAACACCAAATTGCCCCTGGTGGCTGTTCCACTCTGAGTAATTACTTTTTTTCAAGACTTTATGGGGTCGACTGAGGACATTTTGAATATCTGTTTGTAAGTACTATAATGGATTTTTTGTCCGTAAAATCACAATTTAATTTACTTCCCACTTCCATACTGGGCGTCAATGTACAGAAGCTATAGATCTCAGCTTTTATCTGATAGTAATTGCATTAAGTTTCCTGGCAGTGCTCACAGTCTTTCAAATGCTTTCTCTAACCCAGATAATCCAGGTAACTTTCTTTGGCATTTAAACAAAGGTAACTGAATACATACTGTAACAGGACACGCACTGCTGGGCTGCAGTTTTATGACAATAAGCCAAATTAATGTGTCATTTCAAAATGATTTTCTTGTGAGACTTAAAAAACAAACATGTCATGACACACTTCAATTAAAGTGAACTGATATGACACGAACATGGGAAGAGTGCATCCTAAAGCACACTGGCTGATTTCGGTGTGTGCTGCAGTATTGCCAACTTTTTAGAAACACTATTTTAGCACACAAGTAGCTGTGCTTCTTCATCCTGGGAAAGTTGGCTAGGTTTTTTTTCCTAAATAATTTCTCTGTCAGGACAGTTGGTATCCAGCACTTCTCACTGTCAACATTCAACTGGGCTGCTGGGACCATAAATTTGTGTGCTGGGCTGCCTGCTGTGTGGCCATCAGTATTAAAAGGGCATCTAAAGGCAAACTCTCAAACAGCAGGTAATATGAAGGATGGACACTTGGATCACGGGATTCAGCAGTGCGCAGAGGCTTCCTGCACAGAACGGCTGATGCCTAAAAGACTTTAAAGCCATCTAAGACATGTTGATGATTTTGTGAATTGATTTTTACTCAACTCCCTGGCTCTCTCCAAGCAACTGGCAAACGTAAAGGGATTTTTTGACATTTTGGGAAAAATATTAATTGACCTTTTAGGCAAGAGTAAGATAAGACGATCAGTACCACTATGATGTCTGTAAGGCAGCTGGTTGGCTTAGCATGAACACTGGAAAAAGCATAAAACAACTGCCTTTGTCCAAAGGACTATTTATTTGCTCTGTCAAGTTGCCAGGGAGCCGGGGAACACTTTGTTAATGTTCCCAGCCAAGAAAAAGTCCTGCCTTGCAGACATGCAAGTTGTATCAATCTTCTAATCCCAAAATAAGCTAAATGTTGCACTATCTCTTTCAATATTTTGTATGTGAGTAGCCAACTCAGTCTCAGTCAGTTTCCATTTTTATCTTACTAAAGAAAAAGTAGGTCCGAGTTAGGGTGTCCAAAGAAAATATGGTATAGTCTCAAATTATGAGCAATTGTCTCGACTCCTTTGTCCCGACTTAACATGGGTTTTGATTATAGCATAATTAATCATTAAATACTGAACCCAATACTGAACCCAACATGCGCTTTACGCAGACAGATGTGACACTGCACTGATGAAATTAATAAAAATAAAAATAAAAATTAGGTAAAAGATCATGATTTACCCACTGTTACATATCCAGAGTTGTTGTGTTACCAAACAAATTAAACTCTTCTTTAATTCATCCACAGACATTCAATCCAGCTTCAACATTGAGTGCTATAAATGATATTAAGTAGGGTCATGGTACTAAAGTATAATCTAGTTTTCTGTTTTAATCCAAAACTATTTCTAATTTTTCTAATGTCCATGAACATTGAAAATCAAGTGGAACAAACTGTAAGTTTTTTTGGTTTCCGTTTTTAATTTTCTCTTGCAAGTGGAAGCCCGCAGGTAACTGAATGGACTTAATCTGAACCAGTTCATTCGAAAAGTGCCTGGTTCTGCTTACAGTAAAGTTCTCACACATTTCACTTTTATTCACAGTTCAATTTATTATACCCTGTGTATAATTTGTTCTTTTCATATTCAATTGGGATTCCACTACAAAATAAATAACAACTTGTTCTTCGTTAACAAATATGACACATTAAATATCAAAATCATATTTGGTTTGTGGCCCATTTTTTCATTTCCTATTTGTGATGTAGAAGTACAAAAAAGAAGCAGTTATTAGTTTTTGTGTGTGTGTGTGTGAGTGTGTGTGTTTTGGATTCATAAATAAATACCATAACGAATCGTTTGTTCATTTTCCAGTTTTGGATTCCCAATTGGATATGAAAAGAACAAATA